GGGTTAAGATACACTTTAAAGTAAACTGTAGCCAATCTGTTGCAGCCCAGTGAGACGCTTCCTTTAATTTTCTACATCTTAAATTGATTTTATAAAGATTTAAACAAAACATGCACCAATTTATCGCCAGATAAACAAAGATCCAAAGTTTTGAAGCATTTACAGCTGCATTTTAACATCATCTGTCCTGACCGTCTGTGTTTAAAGCACAATTTATCGGATAGAAAAAAGACGGAGAACAAAGACAGACCTGGCTGCTGCAGAGGAGACCAGCGAGGCCGGCTTCATCAGCTCCCAGGAGTCTTGGACGTCGGGGCGGCTGCTAACAGAAAGAGACGAGTTACTCACCAGGCCGATACCCTTCAACCCGGCGAACAGATAACGCCGTTACTGTGAGTCATGCTGTGTAMTGTACATGCAGGTACTGAATATACAGTTAGATGATTTAATCTTTTCAATTTACGATAAGAGTTTCATCTTTAATAAACACAGTGAATGAATTTAAAAAACAGCCACAAAAAGACAAACTTTTAATTCAAACGTGACTAATTAAATCTTGTTTATTCTGTAGGAAGTTTATATGTGGAGTTTTGTTATGAGGATGATGGAAAGTGACATCACATTGTGAGCTGTGCTAAAAATCCTTATGAATATGCAAAGATTTAATCTGCTCCATCAGCAGGGATTAGCTGAGAATCCAGTAAATGACTCAGGAAAGGAAAATAGGGCTCCAGTTTCAAGATAAAAAAAACAAACACTGGCTCTTTTGAAAACAGCCAACAACTTTTTTTTCTTTCCTGACTCTGTGCTCCTACCTGGCAGAAGATTCCTGCAAGTTACAGTTTTTATCTCCAGATATCAGAAGATGTTCATCCAAATGTCCCTATAGAGAGAAAAAAACAGATATGTACACTTTGTGTTGGAAGAACAAGGACTCAGAAAGATAACAGATAATCCTGAAGTCATCATGTTTCGACAATGAAGTTCATGAAACTAAAGGTGACATGAAAACTAAACTGACATGTTTTGCAGAACAAAAAGTTTTGTTTTGAATATTTACTATGTGGAAGAGAACTAGATCAAACTGCAGAATTACTTCCCTAAACGACAAAGTGAAATATTACTCCTCCGTGCTTTTGGTGGCATCTCCTCCCCACCTTCAGAGCAGCAGCCTCGGCCTGAGCTTTCAGGATGTTGCTCTTCAGATCCTCCGGGGTGCGCAGTGGAGTGACGGCCGGGCTGCTGCCTGAACTGTTCAGGCTGCACTTCTCTGTGAGCTTCACCACGTCGTCCTGCGAGGAGCGAGGTCAAAGACCACCAGTGAGTCGGTGCAGAGTAAAGGTGAAGCCCTCAGCGTTAGTAGAAACAGACTCACCTGGTTGTTCATGRCCATATTTACATTGATGTTGTTTCTCGGAGTCGTGGGAAGTAGATTGCTTTCCAACTCGAGCTGCTTCAGACGAGCTGCAGCTTCTGAAGATTTAAAGATATTTTAGTTCTTTTTTCCAGTACTTTATATCTTAACTGGTTTACACTTAGGCAATGAAATATAAACAGCAATATAAGCTCAGAGGCCTGTTGCGATAAGCAATAAGTCAGTTAATGTCAGTTTATTTATATAGCACATAAAACATGAGTTGATCAAAGCGCTTCACAATTCAGCCAAGTAAATGAATAAAAGAACAAAGCAACACACTCTTGAAATAAGAAAAAAACTGAGTCAAATCAAGTATTTTAAGTATCTTACAAAGTAAAATTTTCTCACTCAATTGGCAGAAATTTTTGACAATTTGAGTTAAATTTTCAGACTAACAAGACAAATAATCTTACACATTCTGAAAACAAGATTATTATTCTTACACAATCAGTTCTTGTTTAGTAAATCAGTCTCAAAACAAGATCAAAAAGACTTTTTGGCTGATATAAGATTTTAAAACTTGGTTAGGTGGACAGTTTTTGCAGTGTAACTAAGTAATTTGTTTTTTAATAGTCGACTAATCACCAATTAGAAAAAAAAMCAATGCATTAATTATTACATTAGTCGACAATTTTAATAGTCGACAATAATTGTGACACCCTAATAAACAGCAGAAACGCCACCCGCCGCCAGCTGCTCCAACAATATTAGCATGCTAACGCACATAGTGGTGCTGCGATGAAAAGTGTCCCCCATGAAACAGTTCATTAGCATGTGCGACGTAATGTTCTGAGCATGTTCAGGCTATATAAATCGGTGAGTTAATATTCAGAAAATTCATATCACAACAAAAATAAAAACTGTTTTTGGTATGAACCAGTGTACAGTTCAGCACTACTTATATAAACACTAGGGCTGTGTATTGGCAAGAATTTAGCGATACGATACATATCATGACAGAGGGGTCACGATACGATATATCMCGATATATTGCGATTTTTTTGTCCAAAAATTCTGTTAAATAAAAACCTCTTACAGGGGAAAAAAATTAAAAACCAAAATTGTCTCAGAAAATTCTAATATTACATAGACAAGCTTTTGATACATTTAGCTGTGTTCTGCTTTGTATGTATTTTATTTTGTTTCATATTTCTTATTTCATCCATGTTTTCAATTATTAGACTAAATTTGCCAATAAATAGTTTGAAAATATATTTTTTGCAGCTTTTAGTTTTTAATATTAATTTACAATAAGGTCACCCAACACTTAACAATAGCCTCTACCTCAAGAGGTAGAGGAGCCAAATGGCTGGCTCACTGCTGCCAACTAGTGGTCAGAGGCTGAACTACAACATAAAATGAACGGCTGGCAGGAAAGTTGACATTTTAAACCTAAATAAAAAATTGATACAGGGGTTTAGAATATCGATACAGTATCGGGAAATGAAATATCGCGATATTTCAGTGTATCGATATTTTCTTACACCCCTAATAAACACTTTCCTTTAACTGATGTTATGTTTAAAGCTCACCAGTGAGACTGACGGGATCTTCCGCAGTAACACTAGCAGCAACGTAAGAAGCGCACGGTCCGATCTCCTCTGCAGCCGCCGCCGGAGGAACGACTGGAGCTCTGAGGACGTCATCGATGCACGTCTCCATCAGGTCGGCAACAACAGGCAGACTGCAGGCACAAAGAGGCAGGACAGAACAAAAAAACACAGAAACAAAGATATTTTAAATCTGCCACTAAACTTTATCAAATGTAAACATAAAAACAAAGGTTACAATAAATAATTTACATTAAAACTCAAACAAAATGGTTCAGAATTACACAGCTTACCTGTCATCCATCAAATTCTCAGCAATGATGGTAAACGGGCCACATCATTTTCCTAACATGCTTATGTAACCCTTAAATAAAACACAATGTCCCAAAAACAAAATCTGAATAATACTAATAAAAGCAAACAAATACAAATAAGCTGTTTTAAAACCATTTAAAGAACTCAAACTCTGTCGACATGAAGAAGTAATAAAGTCTGTGGGAAAAACAGGAGGTAATTTTCTCAGTATTACAGACGCTCGGAGCAAAAACATCTGATACACAGATTTAGTGAAAGGCTCTTCCAGCAGCCTAAAAACTATTTCATATTTCTGTAGCCTGAAGAAACGAGACGAGTTATGAAGTTTGCTGCATATTACTGTATTCTGCCTGGAGAGAACAGGAGTCAAAGAAAACATGTATAAATGTGTTTAAACCTTAAAAAAACAAAAATAAAAGACTCAGGAGAGAAAACATTTAGACTTCTGTAAAGTTGCGTGTTTTAAATTTTTTTCTTTATTCTCTGATATAATTTAAAACTGTTAGAAAGCATCATTTAGTCACAAATGTGTCAACGTTTTCATAAGAATAAGATTCAATCACCTTCACTGACTGAACTGTGCAACAGACAAATCTGATGAGTTTTTACATTCAGCATCTAACTCAATCCAAGGTCCTTTCATAAAAACTCACAGATGTACAARAGTTGTTAAAGCCAGACAAACGGTTTCATTTAGAGCTGCTGGTAATTTGTTGCATTGTGACACAAGTTGGATGAGAAGAGACAAAGGACTTTACTTCTTATTTTACTAAAAGTTAAAACACTGAAAGCAGGAACAGACAGCCGACTCAAAGCAGAGGACAAACATGGAACTTAATTTACACTACATGCGGCTCCGCTTCGCTCTGCTGCGGTCCGACCTCTGCAGTAAATACACAACCATTATAATCAGTGAGAGTATTTACACTGTGAGTGGACGGTGATGCGCCAAAATTAGATTCAACCCTATTTTTGCCAGAGCTGCGCCGGAGTCAATCTACAAAGATCACGTTGCACCAACAGGAAAAGGAACGGGCACAATACCCGTATTTTCAAAATAATTCACCAAGGGCAAACTAATTTTGTCAAAATCCCAATTATTTCAATAAATACATGGATACATTTCTACACAAACGTTCTCAGAATGTATCGCTCTGTTTGGGAAGCAGATGGCAAACACACAAATGATACACATGGACAGTGATGGACACAGTTCCCCTAAAGCACTAATAGGGGAACTAATTTCTTGATTAGTGCTTTAGGACTTTTGCTAATTTTTAAATTAATTAGTGGATTAGCACTTGCTAAATTTATGGGCTGAATTTAGAAGCACTGTGGTCTTTAAATGTTATTGCTCAACATTATTGTTCACAGTTGAGGGTGAAAGCTGTCACACATTTTGTTCATGTGCGTGTCGCTTATCTAAAAGGTCACGTGTCGAACTCAAGGCCCACGGGCCAAATGTGACTTGCGGGTGACTCCCATTTGGTCCTCCATTCTGCACACAGTAAATCTTGTCTCATGTCGACTCTGAAGAATGTTTCGTGCATCAACTGGGTTATTTTAGTGCTTCAGAATTAGCTTTTGCTAAAATTTTCAATGCATTAGTGCTTTAGAATTTGGCAGAGTTGTAAAGTTACTAAGTACAAATACTTTGTTACTGTACTTAAGTAGAATGTTTGGGTATTTGTAC